CTCACGCTTATCTGTCCTGTCCATTAAAGGCAAAATGGCCAAAAAAAATCTTAAAAAATAAATAAATAAATAAATAAAATGGCAACCTTTGAGACACAGGCAGAGCTATTCCCAGTGCTTTTGAACATATCCCATGGCCTTCTTCAGCTAAACTTATCCTCAAAGACATAAGCTTTGAATCTGGTCTCTCTGCCTGTATAAAGTATGTTTTGTTTTTTTGTTTTTTTCAAATTACCTTTTTCTTGTGTTCAGTTTGTATCAGTAAGGATGTGGAAGGCAGCAGCAGGACAGACAGCCAATGTGACTGTAAATGAGGACGACGACTGGGAGACTGACCCAGACTTTGAGGTACCTATGCATGCTTCTTCCTCCCTCCATTTCCCCTCTTGTGATCCTCACTCCACTTTAAGTTCTGCTCCATCTTTCACCCTCCTGACAGCATTTCTTGCCCTTTCCATTCCTGAATTTTTAGAATGACGTATCAGAGAAGGAGCAGCGCTGGGGGGCCAAGACGGTGGAGGGCTCAGGACATCAGGGGCACATAGAGTAAGGAAGCAAATCATTTTTCGTTTGGTATTAAATGCAAGGTGGAAAGCGCCAAAATGTGTCTCCTGACTCTTTCCTTCCTTGGCATAGTATCCACCGACTGCGTGAGACAGTGTCGACAGAGCACACCAGTTTGAAGCAGAAGGAGTTGGAAACCATGCCAAAGGCCTCACATGGATATGGAGGAGTATTTGGAGTGCAGCAGGACCGTATGGACAAGGTAAGAGTGACCACATTACCTGAGGTCACAGATGTACTGTTAGATGAGGCTGGAACGGGCAGTTTGTTTTTGCTTTCACATACACGTGTCGCCCTTTCAAAGAGTTGTGTCCCAGGTTTATCACTGTGTTGCCTGATGATGTGGTGACATGCAAAAGTAATATTAAAGATGACCCAACAATCTCACCCAATGTCCATTTTGGAGCTGTTCTGGGATGTACATCAGCAGATGGATCTCATTCTACTACTAGATGGCCTTTTAAGAGAGAGAGAGAGTGTGGTCATTCTGTTAGCAAAGTCAAGTATGAACTTAATACTTAAAGGTCCAGTGTGTAGGATTGTAGGGAATATATTGACAAAAGTAGAATATGATATAAGTGTGTTTTCTTTAGTGTATAATCACCTGAAAATAAGAATAGTTGTGTTTTCATTACCTTAGAATGAGCCGTTTATATCTACATAGGGAGCAGGTCCTCATCTACAGAGATCGCCATGTTGTACAACCATGTTTCTACAGTAGCCCAGAACTGACAAACCAAACACTGGCTCTAGAAAGGGCCATTTGCATTTTTGCTTCGGACATCGTACTTAGAGGCTCCTCTGCAAGAGCAGCATTGGAAAAACTGATTTTTTATTAATATCAAGCAGGAGAAGTTTCAGCTGCTTGAAATCTGTAGTCCTCACTGCTATATGCCACTAAATGTTCCTAAGATTTACACACTGCACCTTTTTAATAGGGAAACATTTTGGATAAAGCGTTACATTTTTGGTGAAATATCATAATCATGACAAGTCCACTTGAAAAAGGAACTTGGCATCCTTAAAATGCCTCTGTGTATTTGGATTACTGTAAGCTGTCTTCATCTTTAGCAACGTTGCGTTCTTTTATTGTAAAAACTGAGACCTTTAGTCTTAGCATAAAGACTAAAGGTATAAAGTATTTCACTCTGGTTTGATATCCCAGTCCAGCTAGAAATTAGTTATATTAGGCTGTAGCCCTCATCGTTGACTGTTACTCAATCTTTTGGATTAATGAAGTGCATAGTGGTTCATCATTACATTTGAGGCATTGCAACAAATACAACCGCAGGACAATCTGTGCAATGATTTTTGTCCTAATGTACCTCCTTTGACTTTATTCTGAATATGCTGGCTGTGTACGATGTGCGTTAAAAATAGCTAGATAAATAAATTCTTATCTGATGCTGCTGAGTGGTGAAACTGATTTTGCTGTAAGTAGTGGCCTTTCCTGCAGCTGATGCTGAATATGAACCAGCTTGCTAGATCCTGGTTTGTATTGTTTTGTAGCTTTTCATATTTTCTTTTTTCTTTTTTTTTTTTTAAAGATTTTTTTTTTGGGCATTTTTTGCCTTTTTAATGGACAGGACAGTTAAGTGTGAAGGGAGAGAGAGAGAGAGGGGATGACATGCAGCAAAGGGCCACAGGCTGGACTCGAACCCGGGCCTTTGCAGCAACAGCCTTGTACATGGGGCGCCTGCTCTACCACTAAGCCACCGACACCCCAGCTTTTCATATTTTCAATAAGGGCTCTTACTGAAAATCTGAGAAGCTAACGTCATTTTCACAAACCTAAATGACCTCCGATTCTTTTGAGCCTCTGCACCAGTTTCTCTGATGTTCATCTCAGTCTGTGTGTTTGTGTGTAACAGAGTGAGGCAGTTGTGGCCATTTCACACGCGATAATCTTTCCTGGCAAGCAGCTCAGTCTGTCCACACCTTTCTCTCTCTCTAGCCCTATGGTCATTGCAGTGTGAATGTGATGACTGAGCACTGTTTACACCACACTGTGTGCATCTGTGATGAGTCAGATGTCGCCACTTCAAACAGCTGGCTGTGTTTTCAGCCCTTTTGCTCTTCTCAAATGTTCCCCTTATTATGTTTTGTAATTTTGTCCTTTTTTTTTTTTCTTTTTTCACAGTCTGCTGTGGGTCATGACTACCAGAGCAAGCTGTCCAAGCATTGCTCTCAGACAGATACCTCCAAGGGTTTTGGAGGGAAGTTTGGAGTGCAAGCTGACCGTGTTGACCAGGTCATTTCCTGCGACTGACCACTCAACAGTGCTGATGACATCTCCATGATTTCAAACATGGCTTTTGTTGGTGTTCAAAATGTTATTCTTCCTCTTAAGGAAACGACCCACCTAGGGCCGTATTCACAAAGCTTCATAGTGCCAAGAGTTGCTACCTAGTGACGAAATTCTAAGAAAATTCTTAGAATTGTGATGTTTTCTTAGAATTTCCCCTTAAAGTTAAGACTAGGTCCTTGTAAAGATAAATGTTATTCACAAAGTGTCTTAACCCTTAAAAGAGCTCCTACGGTGAAAAACTGTTAGGAGCAGGGAGGAAGACTTTAAAGCGATTTAAGAATTTCTTAATCAGTGGAGAAAATGGCAGAAAGACAAACAGGAAGGAGAAATATTCTCCAAACACTGGATGACACAGAGTAAATGAAATGCTACAGATTAGATCACGCAGGGATAATATTTGTGGATGATGTTATTAGGGATACGCACACATTTCCCACCTAACGCTATAACATTGGAAATAAAATGATCACGATAATAAGTTATTTGAAAAACTGGAAAAAGGCAACAGTGCAGCAGTGATAACTTGTGGCTGTCTCAACCTTCCATCAGCAAAGTGATCACACTATCAATGACAACACTTTGACAGTCTGCAGTTCATTTCATTTCCACTGGGTGTCCACACCTTGCAGGCTCACAGAAGGGCATGTCTGTGGCAACCAATCACGCCACACACAGAATGCATTACACCTAGCAACAGGATCAACCGCACCTCCTCACTGAGATAAAAATTTCTGCTAATTCCTCGCTCAGAGTTGCTCTTAGACCTTTCCTAAACCACTCCTAAGCTAGGAATCCTTACTGAAAATTTTTACGCTAAGTTAGGAGCTCTCTGAGTGTGTTCTCAAAATGTTTGTGTATACGGCCCCTGGGCTCCAGCAGTTCCAGAAAATGTTCAGAACCAATACAGTTTGTGTCCAAAGCCTACATTTAGATCTAACATCAAGAGTAATTGCACTGTTGTACCACTATGCCGATGAAGGTTGGTGCTAGAATGGATGGAGAGTTGCTCTGCTGTGATTGGCTGTTATGTCATCAGTTGTCCGTGCTTGCACGAGTCAACGCAAGTGTTAATTTTGACCACAGCCATAAAGCTTTTTCTGTCATGATGGCAGGACTTTCTCTCCAGCCCCGGGAACCCAGAGTGGCTCTATTCCATAGTCCCTAAGCAACCTCCAGCAGGCCACACTGACCCAGGCTGTGCTCTGCTCCTCCACTAGAGAACCAGAGTGAGGGTTGGAGGTCCGGAGTTCGGCGTGGTCTGTGCCCAGTGTCCACATACCCCTGGATATGGAGCCTCTGTGGCCGGAGGCATTATGTTTTTGGGTTGTCCCTCCGTCCCATTCTTATGTATAGGATATCTCAAGAATGCCTTGAGGCAGTTTTTTTCAAATTTGGCACAAACATCCACTTGGACTCAACAATGAACAGATTATAATTTGGTGGTCAAGAACACTGTGAACTTGACTGATTCACAGATGCATACAACTGCAAAACGGTAATTCAAGTTCTTTTGTATTTATTTATTTTTTTTTGTATTTTGTGTATTTCTTGCCCCTGCTCTCTGAACTTTTGTTCAATATGATAGAACAACGTTTCGTGCTTTAGCCAGTTACAGTCCCTTTCTGGACCATCCATTCTGCCATCAACCTTTGACAAACCCTTATTTGAAAGTAGCAAGTTCTGAACTGGATCAGATATAGAAACTGTTATATTTTACCTGTCGTTGTTACATTGCGTATTTCAAACTGACCTTGTAAGTCTAAATGTAGTTGATATGACTGTGGTTGGGATAAAACAAATAACACATACAGTAGTACAAGGGGTAAGTAATGAGTAGAATAATTGTTTTGCTTCTTCCTCTCTCATTCCAGTCAGCTGTTGGGTTTGAGTATGCTGGGAAGACGGAGAAACATGCTTCACAGAAAGGTGATGTCGCAACTTGTCTTTTCACACATCTGTTTCAGGCCCAGATCACTTGTAGTTTATTTTGACAGACTCCCAGTAATATGCTGTTATATCAGGGGCATGGAACCAACTTATGGACTCAATGGACACATTAGTCATAACTTTATAAATTCACATTCTATCTTTACCCTTTTTATCAGCCAGTTAGATTTAACCAGCAGCGTAAGCTTTTCAAATTGCCTACAGGAAATACATTTTCCAGGCACAGTTTGATGTGCCTCTGGCTGAGGACCAGCAGTACCACATGCTCAGAACCTGCTTGATCTCTGCTCTGCCAGATCCTGCTGTACAGACAGACTAAGTTTGAGAATGTGTTGATGGTGTTTGCTAGTTAAGCTGTTGTTTTCTCGTTGTTTTCCTCCGTTACCGTGCAGTTTGATAGTGACATGTTTTATTTTTTTATTTTCATGGCTCTGTACTCCAGCACATTACATTTGATTTAAAACAAGTTTAAGGTTTAACTTTGAGCTTTACAGGTATTTAAGAGTGTGAACACCCATATTGAGTAAACAGTGTGGAATTGTGTGTAAATGGAGCGATGGTTTTTACATAGTTTATGAGAGAAAGATATAAATACATTCAGATTAAAGCTGAAATTCAGTACTTTAGCCTCATAATCACTGTAACACTTGAGGTCCATTGTGCTGGAATAGAGCCAGAACAAAACTACTTTTAATACTTACACACTGCACTGTGTACAGTATGAACAGTGACCCCGGTGCTCTGGGAGTCCGCTCTGGCTTTGTAGCGTGTAGTATTTTGAGATTGCATTCCCATGACCCTGTTTTGTCATCACCTTTGTGTTGCATTCATTGCCTGCACAGAGGTGCAGAACATTTGCCCAATTCCAATGGCTTCTTTGTAGTATCACTGTTGCAAATTTCCCCGCTGTGGGACAAATAAAGGATTATCTTATCTTTAACAACAGTGCAGGTATTCTTCTGTTTTCACCACTCATTGGACAACACACAGCCTGAGTGTATCTCTTTAAAGGAAGTGGGTATAGAAACAGCATGACATGATTGTGTAATAGTTACAACAGTGAATATGTCTCAAAGGGACATATTTTTCCTCTCACCTGTAGTGCTGTTTATCAGTCTAGATTGTTTTAGTGTGAGCTGCAGAGTGTTGGAGATATCAGCCGTAGAGATGTCTGCCTTCTCTACAGTATAAAGGAACTAGATGGCACTCAGCTTGTGGTGCTCAAAGCACCAAAAAAAACATCTGAAAAACTCAACAGCAATGTCTCTTTCCAGAAATCCTGACATGGTTACTCAAGATAATCCACAGACCTTGTGAGCAGTTTCATTTAGGAACAGTTTTCTTTCTACCAATTTACACCTACCAACAGTATCACCGCACAGAACGAGGCATGCATCTACTCATGGACGAGAGGCTGTGCTCCTGACAGTATGAGATGTAAACATTAATGGAGTCCTCCTCGGCTGAGCTGTAACATTAGCTAGCTCAGTAGTGCTAGGTGTGCTAGCAGTAGATGCACACTTGGATGGATTATCTTGACCGGGTCGAGATTTCTGGAAAGAAACATTGCTGTTGAGTTTGTCAAATTAGTTGTTTTTTTTTTGTTTTGTTTTTTAGCGCTATGAGCAAGTGTTGTGTGATATAGAGAAAAAAATATCACAACATGTTTACTAAATACCTAAATATTGATATGGTGAGGTTGACTATTGGTGGTCACATACAATATTTACACAATGAGATTAAAAAAAAAATCATCAGTAATGTGGGTATAATAATTAAGTGGGTAAAGGCAAATAATAGAACAGTCACTTTCCTGTAATGCAGCCTTTAAAACCAGGCAATACTTATGATAACAAAATATCCAAAATCACAGACAATGTCAAATCTCATATCACAATATTCATGGAATAGTCAAATTGCCCAGACCTAGTTTGTGCACCACAAGCCGAATGCCATTTAGTTCCATCACCTTCATGAGAAGGCAGACATCTCAAAGGCCAATATCTACACTTGACATCTAACATCAAATAAACTAGATTAATAAACGGCACTACAGTTAAGTCTTTAGATTCTGTCTTAGCTCTAGCTTTTGCCAGTAAATGTTAATAGAAAATTTGGAATTGGGCTGCTTCAGGACCACTGCTTCCATGCTGCTTCACCCTGACCTTTGACCCTTGCCCCCCCTGCTTTGCTGTGTAGACTACTCCACTGGGTTTGGGGGGCGATACGGCGTACAGGCAGATCGTGTGGACGAGAGTGCAGTGGGCTTCGATTACCAGGGCAAAACCGAGAAACACGAATCCCAGAAAGGTTTGTCTAGACATCCTGCCATGCAGCATTCCTATTAACCCAGAGAGATATGGAGGGAATGTGGCTAGTATATACACACTAACACACACACACCAACCCAATAAGCGCAGCTCCACGCAGGTCCTGACAAATCATTATTTTGCATTTCTTCTTTGTCCTGCATTCCTCAGCCTTTGCTTGCTTATGTAATGTTGCAAACAATGTTTTTTTTTTCTTCGTTGCCTCTGTGATGTGATGTTTGTGTCCCCCAGTTTCAAATAATAGATTTATTGTGTTTATAAGATATGGCACTCAATACATCTGCCTCAGAGGACTTTAAGAGCTTGGGAGTCTTTTTGGACCTAGGTGGCCATGTTCTCTTTGAAACGCTGTCTTCTGAAATGTGTTCCTCCCTGCCTGTCTCAGATATCAGGTGATTGGCTCAGACTTGCCAGCACCTTCCACTCTGCTGCTGGTCTGTGGCTTGGGCATGCCCCAGCTGGTTTTCTGGGGGAGTGGGATATTTTAATATGGTGTAATTTTCAAACATGTCCCTTGTTGCAAAGGTTTTCTACCAGTTCACTCTTTCTTTTTCTTCTTAAAGTGGCAGATACAACTCAGATTGCACAGATTGCTCTGTTGGTTTATATTGGGCTCTTTGTTCATGTGTTACAGGTAACATTTACACTTTGACAGAAAAAGACTAAAAACATAACACCAGGATACCCTAGATAAGCTGTATTAATTTTTGACAGTGCAGTTGCATGGGGAGAGAAACATTTGGTAGTCAAAGACCTGTGTGCAGTTGGTAACCTCTGTTTCACCTCTTCCTGTCTTAACTTTGGATTTTTCTCCCCCCATCTCCCCCTCCTCTGCTCTGGCCATCGGCAGATTATGCCAAGGGCTTTGGCGGCAAGTTTGGTGTCGAGACCGACAAGGTGGACAAGAGTGCTGTGGGCTTTGAGTACCAGGGCAAAACCGAGAGGCAAGAGTCACAGAAAGGTTGGTATCATCAAAGTCACAAGAAGAAAAAGATATTGGTCATTAAATGATGAATAATTTCAGTAATATTCTTGTAGTTCATTCTCACCAGTCACAGATTAATTACTTCAGATTTGACAGCTGCTTCTGTTGCCATAGCTTAATCAATCAATAAATCAATCAATTTTATTTATAAAGCCCAATATCACAAATCACAATTTGCCTCACAGGGCTTTACAGCATACGACATCCCTCTGTCCTTATGACCCTCGCAGCGGATAAGGAAAAACTCCCCAAAAAAACCCCTTTAACGGGGAAATCCTTAATCATTCACTTGATGTCAAATAAAGATGAGCTACTGAGATTTGGGTAAACTAAAGTAGTATTGTTTACAAAATCTCAATTATCAATGCGTGGTGCCAGTGTATGATAATAATAGTAGATCGTAAACAACTGATCCTGTGTTCATGTAGTAATATATATTGTCTGTTTATTGAGATAAACTCTTTCCTTGATGGAAATACAACATACAGACCATCAAATTGTCATCAGTATGTTTTCAAAGTAATCAGCATATTTACTTGCAGTTTGTTTTGATCAGTTTTTGAAAAGAAAATTATGACTAAATATGTTTGCCAATGACCTTTTTTCCTACGACAGTGACAAGATGACATGGACATTATTAAACACTAACTGTGACTTTATCAGCATGAAATATTTTTGACAAAGAAAAATGGGACTAAAATGTAGTTTTTAAAAACTTATAAAAAAAACTTTCCTTATTATTGTTAACAAAAAAGCTCAGACAAAATATTAGGCTAATTTTTATTTCTTTTTTTCAGTGCAGCGATTTCATTTCCTGCACTCACATGCCATATCAGGACTACACCAGAAGCACACAATGGCCCTCATTTACAAAATGAACATACGACAGAACGGGCGTACAGTCTTTTTCACGCAAAGCTCGGCATTTATCAATGTGAATGTGAGTGGGGGCTGCAATCAAATCTCACATCGGATCTCAACTCGTGTTAGCAAGTTTGAGTGGTGTGGATTTTCTCTGCAGCATAGTAAATCTGAGTTGGAGAATTGTTATTTGACCATATTCTAAGTATTTGCAGCCACATTTTAATCACTTAAAATTTTTTAGCCCATGACAAAATATTTTGTAACAGCCTACAGGCAGATTGATAAGTGAGGCCTGATGCTTTAGTCGAGGATTTTCTTTTAAATGTCATCACTTAAGACAAGCCTTCATCAGTGTAGCCTTCATTGTAATGGAAATGCAGATCCCTGTCAGGCTGGGCTGATGGGCCAAACCAAACCAAACCAAGCCAAGTTATGCCAGCTCATGACTGTCAAAAAGGGTTATTACTTAATTTAAGTAAAAAATGACAACAGCGGGACGTGGGAGAAAGAAACAAGGTGATAGGCTAGACTCAGTTGACTAAATGTTCAATATAATCTAACGACTAAAACAGACTAAAACATTAACAGTTTTTTTGTTGACTAAAACTAGTCTTAAACAGTTACAGTTTTGTTTGACCAAGATAAGACTTAAATGCCCACACTTTTAGTCAACTTTAATTTAACACAAAAAAAACAGGAAGTGGTTGACCAGTGATGAAAACTAACAAGGACATTTGACACAGGACTAATAAAAAATGACAAAATGAAGACTTGTTTTGATTACTCAGTACTCTGCTGCTGATGTGGTATCAGTCTCCAGAGGGCCTGGATGAGTCACACCCTCTTGTCTGTCTTGACTTGTCTGGACTCAGCTGCTACACAGCAGAGCAGCTTCACCTGTACTTTCTTGTTGGACACACCTGAGCAGACTTTCTTGCCTGGTTGGCCAACTGCAGCTTACACAGTAAATATAGGCTGATGTTGTAGATGACCTCAAGAATTTCCAACAATGCATCTGGCTGTATTTGCTTCCTAGGTTTGCATATGTGGTGTCAGCTACGATAACTGGGTCACATGCTCTGATAATAGAGCCAGCTATTTCAATGCAACAGTCTTAAAAGAGCCTGTGAAAAAGGCTTACATCACTTTCGAAGTTTTAATACTGCACACGTGAAGTTTTGACTGTGTTTCTAAATATTTGCATCACACAACCCCTTCAGTGATAGGAGTTTATTAAAATGGCACAAATATAAGGTGAAATTTATTTTTAATATATTCATCCTAAAAGGCATCACCTACTTAACATTATAGAGATATTAGTAAATATTTCCCCACAAAGATGAGGCACAGTTTAAATCTGCTGTAAAACATGACAAAATATTAAGGCATTTTTAAAGATTAGCCACTAGCAGTGTGGTAGTTATTTAATATCTGGTTAATATATGATTAGAAGCAGTGTTGCAAATTAATGACAGAACTGTTTTATGGCATATTTGCATTTAAGTTGTTATTTTTGTGATAAATTACCTTAATATAGCAGGTATTTAAACAGCTGAACTAGCCAGGAGCAGACATTCCTATCAGCTTATTTTATCTTTAACCAGTTTGTTAATGGAATTACCAGGAAATATACTGTATTACAATGTATCACTGATGCAACATAACAATAGTGGTACTGTGATTGTGTCCATATCATACAAGGTAATTAAACCAGATGACAACATGTGGTCAGGTGTCAGAAACCTGTTTCGGTGTTAATGTCTGCTTCTCTCTGTGTTACTGCAGACTATGTGAAGGGCTTTGGTGGCAAGTTTGGTGTGCAGACGGACAGACAGGATAAATCAGCGCTGGGATGGGACCACCAGGAGAAACTACAGCTTCACGAGTCCCAGAAAGGTACTGCTTCTGATTTGGTTTGTATGGGTTTTAGGAGACACACAATGTGTTTTAAGCAGAACTCATCAAAAAGAATATACAGGTATAGGGATGCCCATACCCAAATGATATTATATCCTTAGTGTTTAGGTCTACTGGAAAAGCTTCCATTTATTTGACTAATGCCAAATAAGGTATGAGCCCAAGCTGGTGGTTTCAGTGTTTACTGTTCACAGCCGGGGGAAAAAAATCAACACCAGCTACCAGCATAACACCAATTATCTTCAGCTGAAGCTTGCAAGCTTTTATACTCCACTTGATGTAGGTTTGATAAACAAGTCTATTATCAGATTTAGTAAGAAATGTTATGTATAGGAAGTGGCTGCTGAATGTTATCATCTATCATAAACAACAGACAAATGGAATATTGACATTTTAAAGAGTGTTTTCAGAAAACTAAATGTCTGATTAGTGCTACTTTATATTTCCTTTGTTGAAAATCTCCCAATAGCTGTTACTGTTTTCTATTTAAGAAGAAAACCCCCTGATACTCACACTTTGTCTTGTTTGAATTTGCACATCAAACCCTCCATTTTGACTTTTGCTAGATCGTTGAACAGGGAGAATATCCACCAAACCTCAGCCTTTGCAGGGTGTCTGCTTTGAGTTTAGCACACAATTTGATTTCATTGTAAAAAACCTTTGTTCCTCCTCAGCCCTGCACCGCAGGTCTGATGTGGTTTGGTTGTGGCTTTGGATGTGGTCTTTCAAAGGTTGACAACTTCCTCAATTTGCGGGTTAGAAAAAAAAGGCTCAGATAGAGGAAGTGAAACCACAGCTCAGATTTGTATTTGCATGAAGCTGATGGTGTCATTCAAAGCAATTCATAATAATGTCAATGCCACGCAGCAACTGACTGTTCACAAACTCTTCTCCACATACAAACCTCTGCAGCTGGCAGCAATAGAGGCACTGGGCCTAATTCATTAATAGTGCGTATGTACAAATCTGTGTTTAAACCGTGTACAAACTTTTTAAACACAAATCCAGGATTCATCAGTATTTACATACCTGGATTTGTTTGTACTCTGCAAACGAATTCAGAACTGCCATAGAACATGTGTACACAGAAATGGAAAAGGCCCAGCTGTCTTAGCAAATGTAAATACACAGATTTTAACTAAATGCCTAGCATATTAAAATTTCATTCTTTTAAAAAGGCTTTAAAATATAACACTATTTAAAGTTGTTAATTTACTTATGCATTGGAAGAGTAGGTTAAATAACTATGAAAGTGATGCCCTTTCACCCTCACCAGTTGTTGTCATTATTTAAATATTCATATTCATTATGTACAGTATAATCTACAGCATGACAAAGGCATAAACATAGTTAGCAAGGAGGAAACAAATGTGGTTCTAAGCACTGTGGCGGATCCCTGAGAATTTACCCACAGCAAGGCTGAAATTAAACATGTGTGGTGGTGGTGGTGCTGGTGGTGGTGATGATGATGGCGTCTTTTATGACAGCCATAAACTGGCCTGTAACAATCCCAATGTGAAGCAACAACTAAGATGAGAAGCAGCAGAGACCTGGACCAGGCTTAGCACAGCACTGCGTTCTCTGTGATACACCTCTGCGCACACCTATTTTTGTAATGAAGAGAAATGGGGATGTGTCCTCTCCTCACATCTTAGTCCTTCCCACCTGAGATGAGAGTGGAGGAGGCAAGGAAGAGACGTAAGGAGAGAGGCAACAGGCATTTAACAAAATTAGACTTCAGTGCTTTGGAGTGTCATTTTAAAGCAACGTCAATTAAATATGACATGTTGCTCAGTTGTGTCTCTGGCCTCTCAGGTGCTGGAAAGACTTCGGCATAGGATACACCTATGTATCCTCACTCATAGCTCCTACGGCAAGCTTCCTCTCGTGCTTCTTTCATATTGAGATGTATATTAAATTTAAATAAATTTAATTAATAAATGTAAATTTAATTATAGTTTTTTTAAATAGTTTATGTAGAATAAGTTTATAATTCATTATAGATTGACACTGTTTTACAAAACCATGATGGAGATGGGTTTGCCTTATTTAGGGCGTGTATGGAAAATAGCCCCATTTTTGTTTTAATGTGAGTTGTTCTTTCAATCAATCATTCAATTTTATTTATAAAGCCCAATATCACAAATCACAATTTGCCTCACAGGGCTTTACAGCATACGACATCCCTCTGTCCGACATCCAGCGGATAAGGAAAAACTCCCCAAAAAGCCCCCTTTAACGGGGGAAAAAATGGTAGAAACCTCAGGAAGAGCAACTGAGGAGGGATCCCTCTTCCAGGACGGACAGCTGTGCAGTAGATGTCGTACAGAACAGATCAACATGATAAATTAACAGCAATCCGTATGACACAATGAGACAGAAAGAGACACAGAGACAGAGAGAGATGCAGGACAGACAGTAGCTTACAACAACATTAATGAAAGTAATAATATTATAATTATAATTACGGCTGCTGTGGTACAATATGTTGAAAGTATATATTTATATCTGATAGTATACATATGTGACAATAATCATATTTATTACACGGCTCTATTAAATGCTGTATTCTGATTGGTCAGTCGCGAAATTCAGTGGTCTGATATTACGGTCATTACACAGTTGCTATGTAGCCCAGCATTGCTAGGGACACTGCCCTGCAACACTGCAGCTGTCAAACAACTTCCGAGGGAAAAAACAGAAATGGCTAATTTTAACATTTCTTTTAACTTATTTGGAGAGTAGCTACAAGGATTTTGAGGGATGGGATGCCGCTGAAGAAAAAGAAATGGAGAAGGAAAGAAAAACGGCACAAGGAACTGACACCTGAAGAGCTTCAAGTGATAGAGGAGGAGAAAGATGAGATAAATACAAAAAAGACAACAAAATGGGCTACTGTACTAAACTATACTGTACTACTACTACTATACTGATGGACTTTCTCTGCCAAAAACAAAAGAACACGGATTTGAATACACACTCAGCAGTCATGCTTAATGACATTTTACGTGAGTTTTATGCCTCGGTTCAGTCCACTAAGCCTGGGTGAGTACAAAACTTTCACCAAAAGTTGTCGAATCCGGTCGGTTTTAATGCACTTTGCGGAGGCAGACAACATTATTTATTTAACTGATAATTAGCCGTGTAATAAGCTGGATAATGTATAATGAGCCGGTGAATACTGGGAAAATAACTCCCTTCAGGGGAATAGAACCCCTCCACTGCGCGTCGGGGTTCTATTCCCCTGAAGGGAGTTATTTGTTGGGAGTTATTTATCTGTCGGGAGCACAAAGGCTCCGGAGAAGAAGCCGAGTTAGTGACATGCAGTACAGCAGAGTTAGCGAGATGCAGTAACAGGACATGAGTGTTAGCAAAGGAGAGAGAGAGAAGGAGAGAAGGTGCCCGATGTATTATAGGAGGTCCCCTGGCCGACTAGGCGTAAGTCAGCCTAACTAGGGGCTGGTACAAGGCAAGCCTGAGCCAGCCCTAACTATAAGCTTTATCAAAGAGGAAAGTCTTAAGTCTAGTCTTAAATGTGGAGATGGTGTCTGCCTCCCTTACTGCAACAGGAAGATGATTCCACAGGAGAGGAGCCTGATAGCTGAAGGCTCTGGCTCCTGATCTACTTTTGGAGACTTTAGGGACCACGAGTAACCCTGCGTTCTCTGAGTGCAGAGTTCTGGTGGGATAACATGGCACTATGAGCTCACTAAGATATGACAGAGCTTGACCATTTAAAGCTTTGTAAGTTAGGAGTAGGATTTTAAATTATTTGAACATGGGCGTATTTCCAGGTGGCAGTCGGGCCCCTTTCTTCAAATTTGTCACAAACGTCCATTTGGACTCAACAATGACTTTGTTAAGTTTTGGTAGTCAAAAGTGGTCACTGTGACCTTATAAAACATGTTTTTGGCCATAACTCAAAAATTCCTACACTATTTATGGCAAACTTTCACACAGATATTTAATGAGATAAAATGATAAAGTGATGACATTTTATACCCCAAAGGTCAACTTGACCACTTTGACATTATAATGTCTGCAAAAACACTTTTCTGGCCATTTTTCTACCTCAAAACTCAGGAACAGAAGGGGAGACATTTGGTCACTACTCAACTGGTGACACTAATCTTGGGTGTCCACCTTAAAACTGTGCTGATTGTATAGCTATTCTGTGCTGCATCAATGGTGCATACAACTGCGTATATAAAAAGAACTGAATACAGTTTTAGAGGCAAGTCACCATTGATTTCTATGAAAGTTGTTCAGTGGCGCATGAAGCCAAAAATGTTTAGTTTCAGTCGTATAAAATAAATTGGATCTTCTGCATTGTGGGGCCCATAGAGTAAGCACAGTAGAGAGTTCTGCCGGCCGAGCGGTTGACTTCTGACTTAGCTTCAATGGGAACATGTTACTGGACCAAATAGATCAAATCCTTATAGTGAAATCAGTCATTTCGCAGGGGGTTGTGATGCTCAAAAAATGTATCCACTGATGTACAGATGTCTCTTTCCCTATGTAAGTCTATTGTAAAAAGTTATTTAGGGGCCCCATAGCATCATGGGATGGACCTGGTTGCTGTAATTCCACTTTTGACCACTATGTGAAATTGGCTTCAAAGCCTGGTGCACTTCTGTGGGCTTGGTTTGTACCTACCCATTCCCATGAAATGTCAAGCAGCATACCGTTTCAAATAAATATCCTGCAATACAAGCAGAAAAAAAATGGTTAGAGTTGTGTTTTAAAATGTGGAGGAGTACAGTTGCAATCAAATTTATTCAACCCCCATTGCATATTAGGCCTATTAGCAAAATATACAATTTCTCAGCTGTTTGCAATGAACAAATTACACAAGAACTGTTTAAGTAGTTCAATAAAACTAATATTACAATGGTTTTGATCCAAATTCAACACAAAATGCTACTTTTAATGACTACTGCAGTCTCAAAATTATTCAACCCCTTCATGACAAGCATCGTCAGTACTTAGTAGAGCACCCTTTTGCTGTTATGACCTGCTGCAAACGTGATGCATAGCCAGACACCAGCTTCAGACAGCATTCCTGAGGAATCTTAGCCCATTCCTCATGGGCAATGGCCTCCAGTTCAGTAATATTCTTAGGTGTGCGTTTTGCAACCGCCTTCTTCAAATCCCACCAGAGATTTTCTATGGGGTTCAAGTCAGACGACTGTGACGGCCACTCTAGAATCTTCCATTTCTTCTTCTGAAACTAAGCCTTGGTGGACTTTGAGGTATGCTTGGGATCATTATCCTGTTGGAAGGTCCAATGACGCCCAAGCTTTAGCTTCCTCACAGACGGCACAACGTTTTTACCTAAGATTTCCTGATACTTGACTGAATCCATCGTGCCCTCCACACGCTGCAGGTTTCCAGTGCCAGAGGCAGCAAAGCAGCCCCAGAGCATCACTGAGCCACCGCCATGCTTCACTGTAGGCAGGGTGTTCTTTTCAGCATATGCTTCATTCTTCTTCCTCCAGACATACCGCTGTTCCATAGGCCCGAAAAGTTCCAGTTTTGTTTCATCACTCCACAGAACAGAATTCCAAAACTTCTGTGGCTTATTTATATGGTTTTGAGCATAATGGAGCCGACTTTTCTTGTGCTTTTGGGTCAGTAGTGGTGTACGTCTTGGAGTCCGGGCATGGAGCCCTTCGGTGTTTAGTATGCGCTTTATTGTACAAACTGAAACCTCAGTGCCTGCTGCCACCAAGTCTTGCTGCAGGTGTTTTGCAGTCACTCGAGGGTTTTTTGTTTTCTGTTCTTGTCTACTTTGTTTATTGCAAACAGCTGAAAAATTGTACATTTTGCCAATAAGCCTAATATGCAATGGGGGTTGAATAATTTTGATTGCAACTGTACATCTAAATCATAGATAGTTTAAATTCTAGTTTTTAAAAAGTTCATTGCCTAATGTGACATGTCTTGACTGTATATAACCCCTTTCCCCACTTAGGAGGTTAACTGCTCTACAAATATGTACAACTTGGCATTTTCAGTGTGGTTGACCTTGATTTGAAAGACCACATGTTCCCAGCAGAGTCACTAAATGTCACAAACATTTTTCTCTCCTGAGAGCAGGCAGGTAACGAAATTGGCCAGAAATAGAAACCAGGTACAGAAGAAGGAAAGATTCATGTTGTGCAGAGAGAGGAAGTGACTTCCTGCTTAGACCACCTGACGGGAGTAGGAAGGTTTTCACACCATGATCATTTTTAGATTTTGGCAGTGATTTTAATCAAGGAAGTAGAATGAAGATCTTTGAGGCTTTCCCCCGGTTCCCTTTTTTAAAACCATACTGTGTCTCCTTCATGTCTCTGAGTGTTTGAGTGTGTACTGGGTGTATATAAATCACAAAAGGCCAGCCCACTCTATCATTGTCTCTATATGTTTGTCTGTTTATATGTATGTAAAAATGTCTTTGTAATTTGTGTTGGTGTTTGTCTGTCCATGTATGTGTGTGTGTGTTATATTACAGACTATAAGCGTGGGTTTGGAGGGCGGTATGGGGTAGAGGTGGAGAAGCAGGACCAGTGTGCTCTGGGCTATGAGCACAAGGAGAACCTGGCTAAGCACGAGTCCCAGAAAGGCACAGATACTCCCCCGGACTACCCCACCCCCCACCCCAACATACAAGCCCACCTCCCATTTCAAAAATCCTTTCTTATTATCACCCATCTTTTTGCAGAAAAATACTCCCTCCTAGCTTGTTAATGCTTCTTTGGCACTGCTGTCTCATTCTCCCTAACGGCTGTTTTCTGTTAAGTGACAGACACGCCTTCCTTTCCTGACAGACACACCCCTGCTGTCAAATAACCTCCATGACCCGTCACTGTTACACACCCTCACACCTCTGCAGCACCAACCGATTAATGTGAACAACATAGATAAGCTCATTAAAGGCCACCCAAATTACAAAAAACATACATATTTTCTCACCTTCTTCTGGTGGCATGAAGCCATGCAGATAGTTAGGTTTGCTGCTGAGACTTCTGCCACCTCACACTGTACAAAGGAGGTGAATTCCCAAAATTATATTTCACAAACTAAATTTTTTTTTTTTTTTTTTTTTCCCCACAAACAACCTCTCAGTTAACTGAAATAATCTGTGGCTCACACACAGATAAGATAGAAAATAAAATAGAAACTAAACGCTGAGTTTCAGAGTTCACTTTTAACCTTGCAAACACACCCCAAGGTCTATTAAGAGGCCATTTTGGAGTTTTTGATCATATTACATGATGTATCAGATGGAGTTGCCCAGTTGTCAGCGAATTGTAAAGATTTGATTTAAAGTTGTTTTTGTTCTTTTAGAGTGCTTTAAAAAAAACTCATATAATCATCATATAATATAATGTCATATAATAATATTATAATAAATATATTACTTTGTTTCACAAAACAGAAATGATCTACATGTCACCAAGTGAAAATATGTGTATCTTGTGATTTGGGTGGAACTGACCCTAAAATATGAGAAAAATCACCACTTTCTCCACTTCTTAGATCTATACTCTTACTATTCAGTTCAAGGTCCATTGTGTAGGATTTAGGGGGATATATTGGCAGAAATGAAATATAATATAATAGGGGCGGGAATCACCAGATGCCCATGCTTCATTATTATCACGATACACTTCACATGCGGGTATCCTGCTATTTGAATGGCAACACCCATGGTAGAACCATCAGAGCTTGGGTACGGCTGTGTCGGTGAAAAAAACTCGGGACAGAGTCACATACCTGGGTTCCAGTGTTTTTAGCACGTAAGAAAAGCCTTTGTTTTCAACAACGCTATAGACGCAGATCTTTGCACATGAAGTAGGTCATGGACTGTGTTATTTTCTTAGCTCTCTCAGAGTTGGATGGTAGTTTTGTCAAGCTAAGTGTCCAGTGTTAGTTGATTGTTTGGCAGTGCGGATTTAGCATTAGTTCGGTTGTCAGCGGCTAACGCTATCTCTGGATGGTGGCGTATGAGGTGAGCCCCCATGTTCATAGTATTCTCAGCATATTTTGCTCTCATATGACATTACTTGCAAATCACGTCATACCCAAGTCCTCCTTTCTTTTCATGTTGAAAAAATCCCAAATAAGTCCAGACTTTGATTTAAATGCAGACGGTGCCTCCATCTTTGTTTTGATGGACCTCCTGCTAAATGCTGCTGAATAAGACCTCTGCTGACCTCACCAAGAAAAAAAAACATCAGCGCCATCTAGTGGACCGAAAAATAAAATTCATTTTAATATTCTAGTACCAAATGTTGTATTAAAATATGTTTTTGCAGAAATTAATGATGTATACAATAGAAGATAGATGCTTGGTGGCTGAGTATCAATACAATTTCACCACGCAAAACATTGCGATAGTATGCTGTATGGCTTTTTCCCCTATAATATGATAAGTATGTTTTCTTTAGTGTATAATCACCTGAAAATAATAATTGTTTTTTCATTACCTTTAGAATGAGCTGTTAATATTTACAGAAGGAGCGGGCCCTCGACTACGGAGATCACCATGATGCACTGCCATGTTTCTACAGTATCCCAGAATGGACAAACTAAGCACTGGCTCTAGAAAGGGCCATCAGCATTTTTGCGTCGGCCACAGTAGTTAGCAGCCCCCGCACAACGTGCAGCGTCAGAAAAACACAGATTTTGTAATATGAAACTGCTTTATTTAGTGTTTTTTGCAGTTTAAATCACCTGCCCTATTTGTTTTGTAGAGGCAGAGACCTTTGCGGATAATTCTGCTCCTGGTGAAAACCTCCTGAGGAATTCCAACTGGGAGAAGTTTCAGCTGGTTGAAATCTGTAGTCCTCACTGCTAGATTGCACTAAATCCCCCTAAATCTTGCACACTGGACTTTTAAGCTACTGTTTCTGGATGAAAATTGGCAATTTAGGCAATAATTAATCTTTGTATTTCTTGTGAAGCAATCGTTTCTGTCGGGTCTGTGCTGCTCAGGTGCTGCTAATTTCACCCAAGTCCTAGCCTTTTTTCCCATCATTGTTTTATTTGATTTTTTAATAACCAGGACTGAATGAAATAGTTTGTGCAGAGCATTCTCTGCTACAGACAGCCTTCATTTTGGGCCAGGTAATGTCAATGAGTACGCAGCTTGATATAAATATTCTCCAAAACAAGCCCAAAAGTTAGATGTAGAAATTAAGTGGTCTGAACATTACTATTGGGGCTGTGCAGCCTTGTGTTCAGTTCATTGTACAGTAAAATAATGTTGGCATTAATTTCCTTGATTTTTTTAATTCAACTAGCAATTTTGCAGATTTTACAAGTATACTGAAAGCAGTAGAAAGGGAGAACTGACAACTCTTGAATATTTCTTTATGCATTACAAGTATTATTGTTGGCGCGATATTCAGCGTTATAGCATATCTCATATTTTCCTCATATCATGCAGCAAATGCTATATTATATGAAGAGTTCCATTCTTTTATGTGGTGTGTAGTCACACATTCATATAGCAGTATTTATCCTTCACTTGGTTCCTCCACCTCCTCGATCACAACCCCTACTTTTCCTAGCACTGCCATGATGCTGTTTGTTTGCTTCTGCATTTATTGTGTGCATGATGTCGTGCAGCCACAGTGCATTTTATCAAGTCCTACTGCTGTGACCACACAGAGACATGGCTGATCTATAATGCAGAGACTGAGCCAAGATGGCTGCTTGACCCCAACTATCTGGCCTATGTTCAGATTCTTCTTATTCAGTTTTTCTGCTGTCACTGTCTGCATACAGTTTTGTTTTTGGTTTGTTTCTCCTCTCTACAGGTTTGCATGAGCTAATCAGCCCGTCCTTTTGATTCCAGCACTTCTTGTACTCATCACTTCCCGTGAAACCAACCACAGTCTGCTTTATCTGAACTTCTGCAGACCAGAAAAGCTTATAGTTTTTGTCTGTTATAAAGAAGGAAAAGGCTAAATCAAATCAAATAGTCCTGTGAGTGTTTTAGGCTCTGCTCTGAAAAACAAGTTCTGATGCTGACTGTGGTTGGGCCATTTATGTAAAGCAGACACTGACCGTTACTTTCTCCTGTTTGTTGCCAGATTATTCCAAAGGATTTGGAGGGAAATTTGGTGTCCAGAATGACCGGATGGATAAGGTAAGGAGTGTTCGTGTGTTATGTGTTATGTTCGATGTTGAGAGCATTGTCTCACATCTTTCTGTCTGTTTGACAGAGCGCAGGGACTTTTGAGGATGTGGAGAAGCCAGCCTCATCCTACCAGAAAACCAAACCTGTGGAGGCTGGTAAGCATTCTTCAACATCAACTGCACCTGAGTCAGGACAGTGACTTGAGTCAGGACGACGTGTGAACTCATCACATTTCTTTATTCTCCCCATTTTTCACTCATCAGCTGGCAGCAGCACAGGAAGTATCAAGGCCCGCTTTGAGAACATCGCCAAGCAGAAGGAGGAGGAGGACAGGAAAAGGGCCGAAGAGGAGCGATTGCGTCGACAGGCCAAGGAGAAGCAGGAGCAAGAGGAGGCGCGCCGTAACATCCAAGAGGAAGCCAAGGCCCCCTCTCCTGTCCCTGCTGCAAGTCCCAGTCCAACTCCAAGCCCAACTCCACCAGTCCAGCCAGCTGCTGCTCCCGCATATCAGGTGGGTCAAGCAGTTTTTTACAGTATGTCTCTCTGTTTTGGGCTAAAAGCTACAAAATGCAACATTTCAGGTAGAGACACAAAGAACCTGGTCTGTCATTTTTCTAATATTGCAAAGTAAGAATGGAGGAAAAGATGCTGCAGGCAAACTAGTTATGTAAAGACAGGTGGAAAGAGTACTACAATATTGCACTCAAGTGAAAGTACTGTTACAAGCCCGATTCCAAAATAGTTGAGACGCTGTTTAAAGTATGGTTTAAAACAGAATGCAATGATGACATTTATTCAGTTGAATACAGTACAAAGACAGTTTATTTGGTAAAACACTGAAACTGATTAAGATGAAAAATAATTTTATTACTCTATGCAATTTTAGTACTCTATGCAGAAATCATTAAACAGATTTGGTTTGCCTCATTTAAAGACAGAGCAAGTGTCCCATGATGCTGCTGAGGAGAATGGAGAGCAGCTGTACGAGGTGGACCCACAGAACCAGGAGGAGGAGCTCTACCAGACCCCCGAGGAGACGGCAGCAGGAGGTGATGCTCATTTAATTTGTGTTGTTGGTGACTGTGTCCTCTCTCTCTTTAACCGGGTTGTTTTACGGAAACAAGCCGATGTTTGGCATTTTTGCTTGTCTCATGACTTATCTTAATCACTTACAAAATCAAAACACTTTTTTTATTAGTAATTATGGAAGTATAATTTTATAGTTCACAAAAGTGGAAAATTGCAAAAATAATGGAAACACCTGTCAGTATAACACAGTACAATCCAACAGCTTAAACTGCAAATCAAATTCCTGTCAAATATTATCTGTGTTTATTGAGCTTTGAAATGATTGAAAGGCCAGCAAGTTGTATAATAAATGACATCATCAAGTAGGGGTGGGAATTGCCAGAAGACCCACAATACAATATTACCATATTATTGTGATATTGCAATACAAGTATTTTATTCTCATATGACACTGCTTGAGAATCGCTTGTGCATTTCTTATTTCTTTTTCCGGTGCCTCCATCTTTGTTTTGATGAACTTCCTGCCAAATGCCACTGACTGAGACCTCTGCTGACCTCACTAGGAAAAAACTCAGCACTATCTAGTGGACTGAAAAAGCAATTGATTTTATTTTTCTAGTACCAAAAGTTGTATTAAAATGTGTATTTGCAAAAATCAATAATGTGTAGGAAAAAAAAAGATTGATACTTGGCGTCCATGTATCAGTACAATATCACTGTGCAAAATATCAGTCTACTTTTACTTATACATTATATTCCCAATGAAGTAAGTCTCATCAACAGACTCGTGTATAATAATGCCATTTTAAAAATCAATAAATATTATGCTAACCTACGTTTGTTGGGGCAACATGTGAACATGAAGAATTTTCTTCAGGTTTAGGCCTACATATTCTCAGATAAAAAAACTATTTGCAAAAAAACCCCAACAAAGGCCTGTTTGCCTAGTAACATTTTAATTACAGCTTACCTCTGTCCACTTGAAATCAAATAATTTCTCCTTCACTTTCATAAAATAATGAAGATACATTTTTTAAACAGAAGGATATGTGAAAATTTGGGGCATCGGTAGCTTAGTGGATAGCCAGCACCCCATGTATAAAGGCGAACGGTCGCAAGTTCGACTCCAGCTTGCAACCCTTTGCTGCATGTCATCCCCCCACTCTCTCTCTCCACCTCACACTCTTCACTCTGTCCTGTCCATGAAAGGCAGAAAATGCCCAAGAAATAAAAAAAAATAGAAGGATATGTGAAAATTTAATTATACCCCATTTTAATACAATTCAACTTGTGCTTATGTTATGAATAATTAAAAAATGTGAAGTATAAAACATTAGGTTTGAATTTGTAAAAGAAATGAGCAGTATTTTCTGCTCTGAGACACTGGGGGGCGTGTCTGCTGAAGAAGCTGAGCAGGCTGCAAGAGCTCAGAGAGCTTGTGGGACATAGCAAACTCACTGCTCACACACAGGGAGCAAACAGAACAACATTGATGCAATGGGCTCTATTTTTATGTAATGTGTAAGCAGGGGAGGGGTTACATTAACGATTGCTTCAAGGCCGTCCAAAAACATTGTGGGCAACAGTGAAAAACTGTTTAACGGTTTAATTCCAGAGTTAGGTACTACACAGTATTCTCATGCTTTCAAGTTGTTGTTTTTTTACTTGTATAACGAGTTTTAAAAAAGATCACAGCTTCTTACCCACACTTCAAATATGTGAGACTTCAACAGATTTTCCCATTCAAAAAAACAACTAACACCAGATAATGGATACCCTGGAAACTTCAAGCAGTAAAATACAAGACATAAAAATAAAAACACCTTAAAAAAATACATGACACTTGAGCCTCTTAGAATTGTGTGATTGTGCAATAAAAGACTTCATATATATGGTACAGGTCTTTTCCCATTGACTAACAAACCATCGTCCTTTTGCAGACGGCCAGCAGTACGAGTACGGCGAGGACCTCGGGGTGACAGCAGTGGCCCTGTACGACTACCAAGCAGGTGAGACTGAAAGCTGTGAATGGATTATGGGCTGGGATACAGAATAAAAGGGATCAGTCACACCAGCAAAGCTTTCAACAGAAATCTATGTGGAATCACCAGAATCTACAGATTTTCTTCCAGATGCAAAGTAAATTCATGCATTGCTTTTACATAGATTTGAACTTGGGTGAATTTTGGAACAGGAATTTGAGCTGTTAGTTGCAAACTGTCAAGACGGTTGTCTTGGTATCTTCTTAGCCTTAAACAAAACTAGCAATGACCAACACTTCTGCTGCATGAGCTGCAAAGGAGCTGCTACATCACCAAGCTTCCAGCTCCATCTTTTTTGAATGATCATGCTAATGAATTTCACTGTGCCACCAAAAACCAAAAAGTGGTTTGACTAAGCACCAACAGAAATCCCTTCCAAACATACAGACCTTTACAGTAATCTGATGGCAATCAAACTTATTGGTCTGATCAATTTTATACTCTGTTCACAATATTTACAGAACCCCCTTTTTCATAGTTTTTGAACTACCTTATAGAAAAAACAAAAACAGCAGGAGTCACAACCTTAAAAACAAAAAAACACACACTCACTACCAAGCGAAATGATTACATTCAAATTATTAGGATATGCTATAGTCAGTTCTAGTGTTTTTAATTGGTCGTAAGCAGGGTCCAAAACTAACTTTTTCACTTACCAGATAGGCTGGCTGCTAAGTGAAATTTTTTACCAGCCAGGCAGATATTTTACCAGCCAACCAAATAAAAATTGCTTTGAAGTGTTGTAATTTGCTATCAGTATTATTTAGCATGTCATTTGGGTCTTGTATGCGATTCTCAATCAATATTTTAATAGTGTGCACTAATATTAGTAATAATGTATGCTAAAATATGAATAACTGTTTCAACAGTTAAGTGTAATATTTGGGTTAATAAATTCTGTAGTATTCTTACTAAAGAACAAAAAGAATCTTTCATTAAGGAATTTTACATGAATCACTGACTTCAGTCTCCTTTGGACAGTTGAGACATAAGATTTTGGCTCGACCAGACTGCAACAGCAGGGCCTGCCCTATATAAACATGAATGTCTGACCAGTGGTGGACAAAATATTCAACGACATGACTTGAGTGAAAGTAAAGATACTCTTGGTCAAATATTACTCCAATACAAGTGAAAGTTGTTCAGTCATTTTTTTTTTACTTAAATGAAACTGCACCAACTGATTAACATAGCGGGGATCGAACTAAAATAAATAAATAAAATAATAGTAATAGTTTTGTGTGAGCAAAAGAAATCATTCAGGAGCACACTGTGCGAGTACAGATTTCAACCAGCAGCAGAAATGAAAGGCGAATCCTGCCGGTTGTGGGTTGAACGGGGGTAACAAAGACAGGAATACGTATTCCTGTCAAATACGGCGGCCACAGTGCTCCGCAGCACAAGATAACGGCTTACCGGCGACGGAGAAGCCTGGCTCCAGGTCCAATAATTTACTCTTTCGTTGGTGTCATGACTGCCCAAAAGTACCTGAACAGCCGAGCCGTGGTGGCACACAGGTATGTGACGTGTCAGAGGAGAAACGAGCTGTTCACATTTCTCTCTTTGTGGCAAGTAACGGTCCACAAACCTCACCGCACTTTAGGGACTGTTCTTTACTTGTCAGGGGAGGAGGGTGGCTGGTTGATTTTTGGTTGATTTTTATTTTATTTATTTATTTTATTTCGATCCCCGCTATGTTAATCAGTTGGTGCAGTTTCATTTAAGTAAAAAAAAAAAAAAAATGACTGAACAACTTTCACTTGTATTGGAGTAATATTTGTCCAAGAGTATCTTTACTTTCACTCAAGTCATGTCGTTGAATATTTTGTCCACCACTGGTCAGACATTCATGTTTATATAGGGCAGGCCCTGCTGTTGCAGTCTGGTCGAGCCAAAATCTTATGTCTCAACTGTCCAAAGGAGACTGAAGTCAGTGATTCATGTAAAATTCCTTAATGAAAGATTCTTTTTGCACTGTAGTAAGAATACCACAGAATTTATTAACCCAAATATTACACTTAACTGTTGAAACAGTTATTCATATTTTAGCATACATTATTACTAATATTAGTGCATACTATTAAAATATTGATTGAGAATCGCATACAAGACCCAAATGACATGCTAAATAATACTGATAGCAAATTACAACAATTCAAAGCAATTTTTATTTGGTTGGCTGGTAAAATATCTGCCTGGCTGGTAAAAAATTTCACTTAGCAGCCAGCCTAACTGGTAAGTGAAAAAATTAGTTTTGGACCCTGCTTACGACCAATTAAAACACTAGAACTGACTATAGCATATCCTAATAATTTGTTTTGGACCCCGGTCGCAAATGCATGTGACGCACTTCGGTGACCAAAGATCGTCTCTGCCTGAAATACACATTACTCTGCCAGGAAACAAGCCGGTCGTCCTCCAGTAACAAAAAATGCATTTTTCACTGGTAAAAAAATAACTTGCCAGAGTGGCGAGTGGTCTTAAAAATTTACCAGCCAGAGACAAAATCTGCCCGTAATTGGCAAGCGGCGAATGTTAGTTTTGGACCCTAGTTGTAAGCACGTACAGTCTAGAGGGGTCCAGGACTGGTTGCCATATCTCAATAAATCCCTCAACATTGTCAGTGAAGATTGTAGTTCAGCTTTTCCACAGGGAGTAGTCTCAGTATCTCATTATACCAGTCATCCATACAGGGGTGTCCTTAGAAATTCAAAGTTTAAGAATAGTCTTCCTTGCTATAGAGTTTTCCAATCAATTTAGCATTATGGTTGTTCCTTGTATTGTCCACTTTGGTAGAATTTATTTATAGTTTCAGCCCTATTAATATCAGAGGGCCCTTTGTCACCAATCTGTCTTGTCCTGTTTCAGCCGGTGACGACGAGATATCCTTCGACCCTGATGACATCATCACCAACATCGAGATGATCGACGAAGGCTGGTGGCGAGGCGTGTGCAGAGGTGCCTACGGCCTTTTCCCAGCTAACTACGTGGAGGTGCGGCAATGATGACGCTCCCTCATGACGACCTGTGTCCCTGTCCATGTGCAAAAAAAAAAAAAAAAAAAAAAGAGGAAGGAGACAATTTCAACTCGCTTTTTCACACTTTGGTCTTCTCTCTTTCTCCACCTCATCTTAGTGCTTCAACACTGTGAGACGTTCTCAGGTCTCCTAACCGGCTTTGTTTTGCTCCCTTTTCCATCCCTCCTATACCTCTCCCTTTTTCAGATCACTTTGTTTCTGTACGCACAGGGAGAATGAGTTATCTTCCAATGACTCCATACAAAGAGAATATATAGAACTCATTATCTGGGCTTTACAAAGTTTTGCTCTGCACCTCTGCTTCGTAATAGTTAAAGCTAGATAATGCAACATAGATGTTCAGGGCCTGAGATGACATTACAAATCACTTCCTGCCTCATAGCCAGAAGTTGCATTTTGAAACTTTTTTACCGAATTAGAGTTGAGCTTCAGGTATTGTCGCTTTTTCACATCAGAGAGGAATTTCAGTCTCACCAAAGACCAGAGTTAACGACAGCAATGAGTTTGAAATGTCTCTAATGAGTCTTGTCACAGGGCTCACGGTGCTCACTGTTTAGTAGCTCAACCTTAATGTAAGCAGGAGCAGTTTTAAGTGGAAAGCAAGCCTCCACTTTGGATTATAATGTATATTGTTGGCTGTATACTGTCCAGCACATTGACTATGGACCAAAAAGCTGATGAACCCCTTTGCTTCTTGGTCTGTCCACATTAAGTTTGCTATGTTGCACGGGAGTTCAAATTCCCCTCCCGACTGAAGCTGCACCTGTTGATGCTCTATGGGAAACTAAGCTTCGGTTAGTGCAAATACTTTTCCTGAACACTTGCATCAGTTGTAGAGTTGATGATAAATGATCAGTAGTAAGGTTTCCTTCTTTCATGATGTTCAAATTGTTCACAGAATAATGGGGCCGTAATGTCAAAGCCTTCATCACTGCTGTGGCAAATCACAAGCTAAACAGAAACACTACAGCTTGGAGTATTATTTTAATCATCTTCATACATTATATTTGCTAATATCATGCTTAGAATCATGTACAGAGAGATCGTGATTTATGAGGCTTTGAGAAATCATAGATTTGAAAACATATTTTGTTCCCTGTCACTGTGGTTTCCTTTGGATGTGGATGTGAATGTGTGTCTTGCTGCCGTGAATGCTCAAGTTTTTGTGTCATGGAATGTTGATACCCACATGCAAGGCATGATAACGACTGCTCTGGAGCACAGCTAACATCCCTCATCATGACCAAACAGTGTGTGCTGGACTCAGAGTGAGTACGTGGGATTTATCAGCATTAAAGAGTAGAAATTTATATTAGGCTGTTGTTAAGGGAAAAGGCTTCGGTGTATTCTCCAAATACTAATTATTTCTAACAGACAGCAGGTTGGATAAACTGCAGGTCTGTGTTTTGCAGTAGTGTAGCTTCAACAGGTATGTGTGTGTGAGGGCCTTCATTCAATTAATCTTTGGGGTTTTATAATTAAAAAAGTGACCTTTTTCAAATACATTATTTTTATCTATACATATGTTCAGTCACATCATTACCTGCTTGTTCTTTTTTTTTTTTTTAGTTTCAATAAATAAACTATGAATTATAAGTTTGTGGTGCATTATTTTAATGTCTTCAAGCTGTTCATCAGCATATTGCCATTTGTTTGACTACATCTGGAAACAAGTGCACCAGTCTTTTCTGGCTCAAAAATGAACACAACACTTAGCATTAATATATATACTTAGCATTATATATTTTATGTATTTTTTTCCCCTCCCAGAAATAACAAGGTTGACAAAAGGAGTTGCACTAATTAATATTAGCAATGAAAAATGTGCACTGTAAATGTAGTGCCTTTTTTCATGACTGATCTGACATTTTTAATATTTCTCATGAACAAAAAATTAATATGAGATAAAATGTCACACAAATGTCTAATAGCATAAAATGATGACATTTTATTTTCAAAAGATCAAAGGTTAACTTCACTGTGACATCATAGTGTTCTGCATTAAAACTTTTCTGGCAATTATTCCATGCATATCTCAGGAACAGAAGGGGAGACATTTGGTCAGATACTGAATTGGTGACACTAATCTTGGGTGTCCACCTTGAAACTGTGCTGATTATGTAGCTCTTCGTGCTGCCAGGTTGAAGATGTGTATGAAGCATCCATGTTGCAGACATGGATGTAAACTGTAAGTGCAACTTGACTGGTGCGTGGAGGCATACAATAGCAATTAATTCTAGTCTTTATCTATACAATTTTTAATTGATTTTTGAAAAATAAAGTGAATTAATGAGATGTTGACATTGAAAAAGACAGAACATAATAGCAACAATACATAATCGAGGATTTTATCCTTGACGTCCAATCCTAGTTTGTTATGGTTTTGTTTTCCATTTTATTTCCATAAATTTATCTGGCTTGTTATTTTACTTTGGATGATCTTTTCCACATTGAGCTGCTCTAAGCCAGCACTGCTTGGATTTTTACTAAATACAACTGTTTTAATGTGTTTGTTAGTAGTTAAAACAAAGTAATCAGAAACAACACTAATCTTGGGTGTCCATCTTGAAACTGTGCTGAATATATAGACCATCTGTGCTGCTGGAGGGAAGATGTGTGTGAAGCATACATGATTTCACAGACATGCATGTAAACTAAGTGCAACATGACTGGAGTACAGCAGCGTGCAATCGAATGACAGTAACTGAAGTTTTGACATAGAATACCAGGACTTTTTCAACATTTTTTCAACACACAATACTATGGTTTTTTGAATGCTTTTTTTTGTTTGTATTTTTTTATACACAATAAGTATGACTTATTTAACAGGGGTTTTTTTACATACACGATGACTTTCAACATGCTACACTATGATTTTTTTTCGACACACTATAGCATGACTTTTTATGAGTTTTTTTTTTTTTTAGACATACAATACTATGATTTATTTAACAGATTTACAGTTTAACACTCACACCCGGCCTACAGTGTCAAAGTCTTGTGCGTTGACCATTCATCCACCACATCTACAGTTCTTCTGGGACTTTAACATTTATACAATGTCACCTGACTTTGGTCTTAATCTGTGACTTTTTTTCTCAAAAATGTTCGAGTTTAAACACGATATTGGGTTTTTTGGACACACTATGAGTTTTTTTGTTTGTTGTTGTTTTTTTCATTGTTACTATCATTATTATCATTATCATTAATTTAAACACTGTCTAAAAGTGTGAGAAAAAACTTTCAAAAGGAGGTGTAACAACAACTCTAGCTCATTAGCTCAGGGACACAAAGAGCAGGTTTGAAGGTTGAGAATTGGGGTTAATGTCTGAGGTGATCAGTCAGTCTTTTTTGCAAGCTGAAGTCTGAAAGACAAAGTTAAAAGCTACCAGGAACACAGAAAAGTGTCTCTTAACTGATAGGGGATAGAAGACTTTTGGGAGATCTGGAGCGTCTGGGTTCAGTCCTTATTGAGGCCTATTTTAAAGGCCACTGTCCAAAGAGGAGAGTGAGATGCTCCACAGTGGAAGTTTGAGGTGGAGTAGCTCATGCTGTTGAAGGGCTGCTTGGAGAGCCTGGTGAAGCCTGGGCAGGTGAATTTTAATGTCCAAAAGCCAAATGAAAAGGTCCCAGTGCAAAGTAAGCTTGGTAGCATGGTGGGATTGACTTTGACAGTAAAGTGCCAATGGCCCAGAATGTGGGTTTAAATCCTGCCCCTTGTCGCTACCTGGAGGCAACTCAACAGTCCTGCAGAAGCAGGGTCAGGAGGGGGCCATGTCTCCTCCCGATGTTTGACAGAGGTACAAATGGGCAAGGGGTTATGAAACACAAAACGACAACCTGCTGACATTTAACTGGGAGTTCAAAGGGTGCAGAAATGACAGTAAAAAGCCTGAGCTATTTCACTAGACAGTTATTCCATCTTTCCATTGCGAATTGGACCTCAAAACACACCAGACTGTTGGAATTAAGACTTAACATGGCAGTCTGTGATTTACTAAATATGCTGCTTTACTACAGGTAGAGACTTCTAGATAGGTTACTTTTGCCTATGACAAGTCCCCTGAAAAAAGGACTGAGTCAGGAAACTATGACTGGTGTCACGTTATCCTTTTATTTCTATTTGTGTTCATGAGAAGCATCATTATATTTCATTGAGCTACAGCACAGCACTACTAGAAGTTACTTGCGAATAATTTATGATATATTTATGATATACCACACTGTGACTTTTTGCCTCTGCGCCAGAGACAGCTGTGGCTGAATGCATTATGTTGTCGGGTTGTCTGTCCATCTGTCCCATTCTTGTGAATGCAATATCTCAAAAACCCCTTCCTTCCTCAGATTTGGCACGAACGTCCACTCGAGCTGAATAATGAACTGATTAGGTTTTGGTGGTCAAAGGTCTCTGTGGCCTCACAAAACATGTTTTTGGTCATAACTCAAGAATTTATACACTAATTACGACAAACTTGAGATAAATGTCTAACAGGATAAGATGATGAAGTGATGACATTTTATGTCCAAAAGGTCAAAGGTCAAGTGTTTTATGACATATAGAATTATTAATTTTTTATAATTTCTTAGGACATAGGCCCAATATCATCTCTAAATCTGATATTTTAATGACATTTTTATTATACTATGCAATGACTTTTATGATTTTTTTTAAGATATACTTGAAATTCTTACTGACTTTTTTTTTAGAACATGATGATGACATAGGCCTAATACAATATGACACTTTCATGACATTTAAAAAAAAATAGACTGTGACTTTTATAACTTTTTAATGATATATCATGACTTTATGTTGCCGTTTTTTTATGACATACAGAATTATAACATTTTTATTATTTCTTGTGACATAGGCCTACTACAATCGGACATTTCAATGGCATTTACTATGCTACGACTTTTTATGATTTCTTATGTATACTTTAACTTTTACTGGCTTTTTTTTGGACATACAAAATAATAAAAACTTTTTTTTTATAATTTCTTATGACATAGGCCTACTCTAACATAATTTTTTCCCCACAATTTTATGTCATTTTTAATATACTATACTATGACTTTTTATGACTTTTATGATATACTATGACTTCATATTGTCGTTTTTTATGACATACAGAATTATGAAATGTTTATTATTTCTTGTGATATAGGCCTAATACAATCTGACATTTTAATGGCATTTTTAATATACTATGCTACTACTTTTTAGGATTTTTTTATAATATACTTTAACTTTTGCTGGCTTTTTTTGAACATACAAAATTATGAAAATTGTATTAGTTCTTGTGACATAGAATCACTATATTATGACATTAATGACTATGACTTTTTTTAATGATATATATTGTACTATGACTTTTTATTAGCATTTTCATGACAAACTATACTATTACATGTTTATGATATCTTATGGCATACCACACAGGAGTTTTTTATATGAAAATGTTATGCCATGATATACCATGACTTTGATACAATCATATGATAGACTACTCGTCAGGCCACCCAGGAACAGATGGCCATAGTGTCAGCTCAGTGTCAGCCCACCCCACTAGCCCTCCCTTACCACCTGGCACTGTAGATAATGGAGTGTACAGGTCCTCTAAAAGCCATACCAGGTAACCACAGGCTCCAAAGGCAAAGCTACAGGTGATCAAAATAAAGATTGAGACAGGAACATTATCAGTGCTGATTGCCTAACCCTCCCCACCACCCCTGCTCCACCACCCTCAACTGTTGAACATCCAAGGTCCTCTAGCTGGCAGAAGAGCCAGTCTGAGGAACCTCCAAGGTTCTCTATTCGCCAGAGGGGCCAGTCTGAGCAACCTCCAAGGTCCTCTAGCCGCCAGAGGGGCCAGTCTGAGGAACTTCCAAGGTCCTCTAGTCACCAGAGGGGCCAGTCAGAAGGGCCGCGGACACAGCCAGAGGTGGCCAAACACAGCCAGAGGTGGCCAAACAAACACTGGTGCACTGGTCACTTGACAGCGATGTACATAATGAAAGCATTTCAAATGCAATGTGGAGAAAATGATTTGATGAAATAATGGCCTCACAACATTTCGTTGACAACACAAAGATCACTGAGGAGCCATTTTTCAAGGTTAGGCCCATCTTCACAGAGCTCAACAATTCATACAAAGTCATGCCATATCCAGACTGGCTGTCAGTAGATGAAAGCATGATACAATATTATGGCCGCCATGGATGCAAGCAGTTCATAAAAGGCAAACAAATCCATTTTGGTTATAAGATA